GGAGGTCCCTGGGACCATGAAGGGAGATGAGCGGAGAGCAGGACCCTACCCAGAGAAGCAGTGATGCCAGAGATGGAGGCAGAGATGATGATGTGGAGAGATGGAACAGCTGGGGGACTTTAGACCCAGAGAGTGAGAGGGGCTGTGTGCTGACAACCCGGGGGGTGGGGAGAAGGATAGGGGGAATGTAGGCTTGTAGGATATACCCTTTGGTTGGTTGATGCTGCATGGAGGGGATTGTAACCATGGCAATGAGATGATATATGATAGTATGAATGAAAAACTAATGTTCTCCCATGTAAACTATCACATAATTCACAATAAAACATAAATAAAAAAATCAACTATAGAAAGACAAGGTTTTCTAGGGCTTATAGACTAAAGAACTGTGTGTGTTCAATGATGTTAATATATTAATTTTTATTACATACTCACACTTATGGTAGACAAGGCAACATTAATACTTCATAAACAATTAATTTGGTTTTTTGAATGGAAAAAATTAATTGTCTACAGTATATCAGACAATGTTCTACTAATACTTTAATTTCAAATGATCCAAAGAGCTGTATTATTACTACCCTGTTTTTATTGATGAGAAAACGGAGGCAATAAGAATCTGTAGTAGCAAACTAGTGACAGGCTAAAGTTTGAATACACGCTGTTGGCTTCAGAACTCATGCTCTTCACCACATGCCATATTTATTAGATTTATTTTTTTTACTTTCTTTTCTAACTGTCCAAAAACCAAATATTAATTTCTAACAATTTATATTTTGCAGGGGAAATAGAAAATGTGGACATTTTTAGTAGTAGTGTGTTTGATGCATGTCTATGGAATGGCGTGTAGTTCTAGTAAACATCATCACCCCGTGAATCCTGAATCATGGATGAATGTTGTAAGTTAATACCTTATGCAAGCATACAGAATTATTGTTTGTGTAAAACAAATCCATAAATACTGTAATACGATGGTTACTTAAGTGAAATTTCAAAATAAATGTGGTAGATTTTATTTTTTAATTTAAAACTTCTATGATTTCTCTTTTTTCTACTTAGAGTCAGATAATTTCTTACTGGGGTTACCCCAATGAAGAATATCAAGTTGTAACTGAAGATGGCTTTATCTTGGGAATCAATAGAATTCCTCACGGAAAAAAAAATTCGAATAGTTCAGGTAAATGTCACCAGAAATTCTATATACTCTGAAAAATTTGTCTTCTCTAAAGAGAAATGTGTAGCTAATGCTGGCATGTCCTTAAAAAATTAGATGTAACAACCCCTTTTTAAGAAAAGATCCAGAGCTGTATGTGTGCTGGATATGTGAGTTTCAAGCTAAAGGTCTTCTCCAAGTTGTTCTTGTGAAAAGTGTCCAGAAAGCAAGACACCTCGGTGGCGTGCTTATATCTATCTCCATTCAAATATACAGACTTCAACCCACCACTAGATCTATCGGAACATCAAGTTTTTTGAAGAATATTTATTAATTAGTAAGATTATTACTTGTTTCAACTCCTTGTATTTAGCCACTGTTGTTGTTAAATGTCACCAAGTTGAATCCAACTCTTAGTGACCCAGTATTAGTTGTCTTTGGAGCAGCTTGTGGGCTTGAACTGCTGACCTTGCAGCAAGCAGTCCAGTGCTTATGGTACAGTGCCCACACCAGGACTCTGTTTAGCCATTTGTTGTTTTTGAAGGGTGTGTAGTAGGTCTTGACGCATAATAAGCCTGTATAGGATTTCCAAGAAGCACCTAGTGGGTTTGAATTGCTGATCTTGCGGTTAGTAGTTCTGTGCTTATCCAACAGTGCCACCAGGAGTCACCTGGTTGATCTAAAAGTTTCATTAAAATATGACCGTTTAAAGAGCTTTTAGGAATAATTATATTATTGTTTATGTAATTAAAAAGAAAGATGCTTTAGTTTCTCAAAAAATGTGTTAATTTGAGCATACAGTTGAAGGTATCTATGGAGTTTTAAAACTTTCTTTTAATTTGATTTTATATAGAACAATTCTTGATTTATTTGAGGCTCATACAAGAATATCATCTTGCAGAAATGGTCATTGAAACTAAGTTCACCTTTAAAATGTGTTTATTGTGTCTGAGATGACTGATCAAAACCAATAAAATACTATCATTCCATTCATATTTTATTGCTGGTTATATCACATGGTAAACAATAAAAGATTCCAAACTATCTACTTTTTTTAGATTGAAATATAAGAAAATTAGAGCAGAATTTTTCTAGAAGAAAAATTGCCATGGCATTGTTATTAATATTTTCTCCTGTTTACATTTCAGCTCCACGTCCTGTTGTGTTTTTGCAACATGGTTTGCTTACATCAGCTTCTGGCTGGATTTCCAATCTGCCCAATAACAGTCTGGCCTTCATTCTGGCAGATGCTGGTTATGATGTGTGGATGGGGAACAACAGAGGAAACATATTTTCCCGAAAGCACTTATACTTGCCACCAGATTCAAAAGAATTCTGGGAATTCAGGTAGAATAATTAGAATGATATTTCATCAAATTTTATACATACAACAGATACTTTATTTGTTTTTCTTCCATTTTAGTATAAGAATTATTTTAACTTTGTATATTTTGTGAAGATTAAGTAAAATACCTTATTTATAAGATTGTCAATTTTAATAAATGTCCAAATGAATGTAATTCCATATGATAGCTTCAGTATTATGTCAATATAGAACTTTATGCTTACAAGAAATGAGTATACAAAGTACAGGAGTATGGGTATTTGGGGGGTTTTGTATTTGAATGAGTAATGTACTTGCATATCTGTCCAATTTAACTCATGCTGCTTTAAATTTTTATAGTTTTGATGAAATGGCCAAATATGACCTTCCAGCTTCAATCAACTTCATTGTAAAGAAAAGTGGGCAAGAACACATACACTATGTGGGGCATTCCCAAGGCACCCTTAGTGGTATGTTTGCTGGT